CGGGTGTCTCTCGTTAACTAGCAGCTGGTTCATTTGTGCTGCCAGACGCTCGTGGAGTGCAGTTAGCTTCTTCAGCCAGTAGGCGTGAACCATGTCGGGCCCTGGTGCTGTCCAACTCTTCATACTGGAGACCCTTTCTTGGATATCTGCCACTGTGATGGTTACTGGACCATGTTCAGGGAGGTCGCTGTGGTCTGCCCTCAGATCCTCTAGCCACTGAGCATTGCCATTATGGGTTGCATCCTTCTCCCATATGCTCTTCCAGTATTGCTCCGTCTCCAGCCTTGGTGGTGCTGTTCTCTTATTGTTCCCTTGCCACTGAGAGTACACCTTTGCTGGTTCTATGGAGAACAGCTGGTTTATTCTCCTGCCTTCTATCTCTCTGGTGTACCTCCTCAAGCGGCTGGCCAAGGCTGTGAGTCTTTGCTTGGCAGTTTCCAAGGCCTCAGGTATGGACAGCTTGCTGTATTTCTTAGGCACCTTATTTGTCGCACGTTTCTGCAACTCCGTTAGTTGGCTAACCTCCCTCCGTGCTACTTTGATCTTGCCCTCTAGCCTCCTTCTCCATGGAGGGTACTGCCCCTTGTGGCTGTTCAACTTGTAGCCAAGCATCTCACTGATCACTGCTGCCGTATTGTAGATCAGCTTGTTAGTGTCGGTAATCGTGGTTGTAGGTATTGCCCGTAGTGCTGCATTAACATCATCTAGCAGACCTTCTGAGGGTACTTCACGTAATCTTGGTAACCTGCTACGGGGGATCCAGGTTTCAAGCTTGGCCATGATCCTATTTTTCAGGTCAGTTCCTCTCGCACTCAACGATCCTTCTCCTATCGCACTTGGGGCTATGTACCCAATCTCGGGTGGGGGTGATGATATCTCCCCCCTGACCTGGCGTCCTGACTCCTCCTTGCCATAGCATTTGTGTTGTACCTCGTGGTACCGGCCTGCTTCAAATCCACCTCCATCGTCCCGATACCCAAAAACTCCAACCCATCTTGCCTCAATGATTACCGCCCAGTAGCACTCACCCCCATCATCACTAAGTGCTTAGAGCAGCTGGTCCTAGCACACTTCAAATCCTCTCTCCCCCCCACCCTGGACCCCCACCAAGTCGCATACCGCCAGAACAGGAGCACAGAGGATGCAGTCTCCATCGCACTTCACTCTGTCCTCTCACACCTGGACAACAACAACACCTACGCCAGAATGCTGTTTATAGACTTCAGTTCAGCATTCAATACAATCCACCCCTCACAACTCATCAGGAAACTGACAGACCTGGGCATCAGTTCCCTCATCTGCAAATGGTTACTGGACTTCCTGACCAACCGCCCCCAACATGTCCGGCTGGATAACCGCTGCTCATCTACAATCACGATGAACACCGGTGTACCACAAGGCTGTGTGATGAGCCCTTTCCTCTACTCCCTCTTCACCCACGACTGCAGACCTGCTGATGGTTCCAACACCATCATTAACTTTGCAGATGACACCACGGTGATTGGCCTCATCAGTGACAACGATGAGGCCGCCTACAGGGAGGAGGTGGATCGTCTGGCTGAGTGGTGCGACACAAACAACCTGCTGCTTAACACCGAGAAGACCAAGGAGCTCATCGTGGACTACAGGAGGAATGCTGACCCACATCCACCCATCCACATTAAGGGGACGGCTGTGGAGCGTGTGAGCAGCTTCAAGTTCCTGGGAGTCCACATCTCCGAGGATCTCACCTGGACGACCAACTGCTCCAAGCTGGTCAAGAAGGCTCACCAGCGCCTCTTCTTCTTGAGGACTCTGAGGAAGAACCACCTGTCCTCAGACATCCTGGTGAACTTCTATCGTTGCACCATCGAGAGCATCCTGACCAACTGTATAACAGTCTGGTACGGGAACTGCTCTGCCTCGGACCGGAAGGCGTTGCAGAGGGTCGTGAAAACTGCCCAGCGCATCGCCGGAGCACCACTTCCTGCCATGAAAGACATCTACAGGAAGCGGTGTCTGAAAAGGGCTGGGAAACTCATCAAAGACCCCAGTCACCCATCACATGGACTCTTCACCCTCCTGCCCTCTGGGAGGCGCCACAGGAGCCTCCGGACTAAGACCACCAGGTACCGGAACAGCTTCTTCCCCACAGCTGTCAGACTCCTGAACTCTGCCTCCTGACATCTGACCCACGTTAAACTCATGGACTGAACATACACACCCCCACAATGGACAACTGTACCCTCAAACACACAATAATAACATGGACTGAACCACCACTCACAACCACCAGCACTTTATACAGCCTCTTTAGAAACTATCTACACACTCACTTATCTTAACTGCACTACTGTATAGCTCTGTGTAAATAATCATTCTGTACATTCGATAATCTTTAATCCTACAACTGTTTACAACTTGCATAGTTCCCATTTCTGTATAGCTGTATATCTCAGATTCTGTAAAGTTATTTATTTCATATTCTGTATAGTTTTTCATATTTATATCCTGTTCATAGCCTGTACATAGCTTGTACTCACTACAGCCTGTACATACTTAGTTATAGAATATTCACAACATACTTCATACCGTGTACATTATAACATACCATAATAGACCCATTTCTGTAATATACTCACATATCTATATTATTGCTAATATATATTGTAATATATCTATATCACTAAAGCACTTCTGGATGGATGCAAACTGCATTTCGTTGCCCTGTACCTGTGCATGTGCAATGACAATAAAGTTGAATTCTTTTCTATTCTATTCTAACTGGTTCAAAACTCAGCTGCCTGTTTTATTACCAGAAGCCCTCCTACAGCACATCACCCCTGTCCTTCAGGAACCTCACTGGCTCCCTGTGAAACTCTGAACAGTGTTCATACTTCTTCTCAAGACCCTTCATAGCCTCGCTCCTCCTCACCTTTCTCACCTGTTAAGCCCTACCTCTTCTGCCCGCTCACTTCAATCTTCTTCTTCTGTCCAGCTTGCTGTGCCTTCTTTCAGCACCATGGGAAGCAGAGCTTTCAGCTGCTCTGCCTCCAGGCTGTGGAAGTCTCTGCCCCAGTTTAATCTGTTCAAGTCTGCATATTCACTGTGAACTTAATGTTTGTCTGTTTTATGCTTTTCATTGTTCTTTGTGTTGTCATTGTTCTATTATGTGATTCACTCTATTGTTAAATGTCCTTGGGTGTCTGTGGGTGCTTTGAAACAGGATGTACACTCAACAAAAATATAAACGCAACACCTTTGTTACTGCTCCCATTCCCCATGGGATGGACGTAGAGACCTAAAATTCATTCCAGATACACAATATAACCATCCCTCCCAAACAGTGGTCACAAATCAGTCCAAATGTGTGGTAGTGGGCACATCTGCTATATTGAGATAATCCATCCCACCTCACAGGTGTGCCACATCAGGATGCTGATCTGACATCATGAGTAGTGCACAGGTGTACCTCAGACTGCCCACAACAAAAGGCCACCCTGGAATGTGCAGTTTTTTGCGCTATTGGGGGTCTGGGGACCCAGAACCGGTCAGCATCTGGTGTGACCACCATTTGCCTCATGCAGTGCAACACATCGTCGCATGGAGTCTATCAGATTGTCAATTGTGGCCTGTGGAATGTTGGTCCACTCCACTTCAATGGCTGTGCGAGGTTGTTGGATATTCGTGGGAACTGGTACACGCTGTCGTATACGCCGGTCAAGCACATCCCGAACATGCTCAATGGGTGACATGTCCGGTGAGTATGCTGGCCATGCAAGAACTGGGACATTCTCATTCCATCTGCCCTGAACAATGTGAACCATGATTCATCCGTGAAGCGCACACCTCTCCAACGTGCCAGACGCCATCGAATGTGAGCATTTGCCCACACAAGTCTGTTACGGCGACGAGCTGGAGTCAGGTCAAGACCCCGATGAGGACGACGGGCATGCAGTTGAGCGTCCCTGAGACGGTTTCTGACAGTTTGTGCAGAAATTGTTTGGTTGTGCAAACCAATTGTTCCAGCAGCTGTCTGGGTGGCTGGTCTCAGACGATCTTGGAGGTGAACCTGCTGGATGTGGAGGTCCTGGGCTGGTGTGGTTACACGAGGTCTGCGGTTGTGAGGCCGGTTGGATGTGCTGCCATATTCTCTGAAACGCCTGTGGAGACGGCTTATGGTTGAGAAATGAACATTCAATGCACGGGCGACAGATCTGGTTGACATTCCTGCTGTCAGCATGCCAATTGCACGCTCCCTCATTGCTTGTGGCATCTGTGGCATTTTGCTGTGAGACAAAACTGCACATTCCAGGGTGGCCTTTTGTTGTGGGCAGTCTGAGGTACACCTGTGCACTACTCATGATGTCAGATCAGCATCCTGATGTGGCACACCTGTGAGGTGGGATGGATTATCTCAATATAGCAGATGTGCCCACTACCACACATTTGGACTGATTTGTGACCACTGTTTGGGAGGGATGGTTATATTGTGTATCTGGAATGAATTTTAGGTCTCTACGTCCATCCCATGGGGAATGGGAGCAGTAACAAAGGTGTTGCGTTTATATTTTTGTTCAGTGTATTATTATTATTATTATTATTATTATTATTATTATTATTATTATTATTATTATCCCTTTCATACTGTTTATACCAGCTTCTTAAAGCACGAGTCCAATATGTCACAAAGTAAAAACATCATCTGAGATGTTTCTTGAATTCAGGACTTCTTACACATTTTTCTCCAAATGTCTCAAGTTTCAGACTTTTTAACTGTGTGAGTATCAGCGACTCTCTGACTCTGTCTACATGGTTAATGTGACTTCTGCTTGTGTGACGTATCACACGGCTCCCTTAAATCATTTTGGTTATAAAGTGTGTGAAGCACAGGAGGAGGAGTGACTGAGAGCAGAGAGGAGGAGCAGAGATTCAGGGAGGAGCTGAGCTGTTACTGAACTATAGAAGAGAGAAAAACCTCCACATTCAACAGAGTTCAAAACAAACTTTATGTTCCTCAACATGCTGTCATTACATCACTGTGTGTTTCCTTACTGGCTTCTCTTCCTGCTAACAGGTGAGTTCATATTTAATAACTCTCTCTGTTGTGTGTGAGACAGTAAGACTTTTCCATGTTCTGACTGAGTTTTTTCTGTCTGCAGGTGTGATCTGTGAGGAGCTCACAGCACTCGACACTCAGAAATCCAGTTTAGAAGGAAGCACTGTGACTCTGTCCTATAAATACTCCAGACAAGCAGCTCCTGGTGATTATTTCTTCTGGTATCGACAATATCCTGGAAAACCTCCAGAGTTCCTGATCTCTCACTCAGACAAAGGACAGCTGACATCAGATCCAGTCATTAGACTGTCTGTGAACGTGAACAATGATCAAACACTGATGACTCTTCAGATCTCCTCTGCTGCAGTGTCTGACTCTGCTGTGTACTACTGTGCTCTGCAGCCCACAGTGACAGGAAACAGCAAAACTCTGTACAAAAACCTTTGGAGCAAAGACAACAGAATACTCCACAACATCCACTAGAGGGAGCCACACACTGTTAAACCTCTGATTCTTGTGTCATTGGACTGATGACAAAGACAACAGAGAAATGAAGCAGTAAAGATCAGAGACAGAGACAGAGCTGCTGTGGAAGCACAAAACTGTTTGATTGGCTGAGCTATTAAACTGGCCCCACCCACTGAAGTTGAGCTCATCCAATGACAAATTTCCCACGTGTGGACTATAAAGGTTATCTTATCTTATCTTATCTTATCTTATCTTATTTGTTGGTCATTGTGCTGCAGTGGAAGAACATTGTTCATGTGCTGTCTGTCTGGCTTTAATAACTCCAAAGACATGTTGCTGCACCTCTTTTTGCTTCTATCTCACATTATAGGTGAGTTTAAGAACAGGGATTAAAGTTTAGTTGAAGCTGCTGCATTAAGCAGATATACAGACTGCATTTCACTACTTTTCTTCTTTCTTTTTCCAGGACTAACAGCTGGAGACTCACTCACTCCTCAACAACCTGAAGTCACTGAAACAGAAGGAGAATCTGTCAAACTCACATGTAGCTATGAGACAACATCAGATTATGTACGCCTTCACTGGTACAGACATCATTCTGACCTTCAGGCTCCTCAGTTTATACTCTGGAAAGGAGCAAAGGACAGCAGTGGTGATTAATATATTCTTATTAAACGTTATGACTCAGAAGCTTCACCAACATCAACTAATCTGACCATAGCAGCCCTAACCCTGGCAGACACAGCTCTCTACTACTGTGCTCTACAAACACAGTGATACAAAGTGTAGAAGAGGCTGTACAAAAACCTGAACACAGATATCTGACTACTCTTCAAAGAGGAGGGAAGTGGTATTCAAAGCACAGCTTCATATCAGATGGATTCTGCTAATTCCTGTTTTATCAGAGTCACTGTGGTTACAGCTGCTAATGAAACACTGTGGGAGGATTCACATGAGCAGCAAATCCACATCAACCACAAACCAAACATAAAAGCACATAAAAGCACACTAACAAACATTAGCATTTATACAACACATGACTCTGAATCAAACTTCTCACTCTGGTCTTTATTAGTCTGAAGCTGCTTTTAGACTGAAACATGTTTCCAGGCAGTTCTTGAATCTGTATTTTGTCTGAAACGTTTCCCTCGTGTTACAGGACGACACAGCGTCTCACCTGTGTGGATTCCTCCGTGGTGATGGTACTCTGAGACGATGATGAGCTTGCTGCATGTGTGGATCCTGACACAGAGTCTGTGGGAGCCTTTAAAGGTGAAGGACGGACCGTGAGCAGCTAAAGGTCAAAGGGCACTGCTGCAGCCTGGGCAGTAAAACGTGTGTGTGCAGTTTATTTGTTCATTTCATCTTGGTGAGAGCTGCCATGGCAACCCAGTACAGAAGCCCAGGTTGGCCGTCACATTATACTGGTGTAACTACACACAACGGTACAAGAGTCACCACCAGCACCCCCTACAGGCCGAGCCCCAAATACACCACTGTGGCTGACAGCAGCTCTGATCTCACTGGCACACAGCTTTGGTCCTGCACAGGTTTCAGGCTGTGTCAACTTTTACTGCCAAGTCAATGTTCATGTGTGTTCAGAGAAAACTGCTTAGAAGCTTCCAATAAGGAGCTGACACAGATCTGCATTTGTCCATGACTGAGGATGAGCTACTGGCAGTTTAAAGAAGTCAAACAGAGGACGGTTTTACAGATTAAATACTTTATTTGATGCATGCATGAGATAAACAACAGTCAATAAAATCAATGACTGTATTCAACAGCTATAAATGCAGTAAGTCACAGTCACTGCTTTCATCCACACCTGTGAGCTTGTGAATTAAAGCTGGAGGAAAGATGAACCAAACTCTGCTTTCCTCGGCTCTGACAGGTTCCCACGGAGCAGGCTGGGCCTCGCGTGGGCCCCTCAGAGAGGCCTCCAGCCACCCCTGCAAACACCACCAGCCAGGTCCCGCCGCGGGAGCCGGGTCCTGGCTGGGAGTCTGAAGCACACAGTCACCACCTCCAGACTTTACACTTTATTACTGTCACAATGATCATGAGTTGTTTTAATATGAATGTTTTGCCTTCAGCTTTTGCCACCACCTCTAACACTGCTTCTTCTGTTGTTGGGTGGATTCTGAAAATCTAACAATAAACTTGTGTAAACGAACAAAAATGAGCTCAAAGAGATTAAATATCCGTCCCTCTAACAATCAAACAGCCCAAACAAACATATATTTAAAACTTTTTCTATCTAAAAAACAAAAAGCTCCTACAGTTTGTTTCTCCACATATTCAGCTGTACTGAGGAAAATCAGGTTATAATTCATTTACACTTAAAATCACACCAAACCGCCCCTGAAGGCTTCGATGCCTGATCATGTGACCTCTCACTGTGGGAAACATTGTGTGAGCTGAGCTCTGTGGTTTAGAACAAAGGTTTGTTCTGGCTACATAAACGTTATCTTTTATATTTAATCTGACGACTTTGTTACTTATTGAGACATTGATGATGCGTTTTTGCTGCTCCCCATCCTGGAGAGCTTTCTGTGGGTTGGAAACTGCCTGGGATTAATCTCAAAAACCCAGCAGGGACGTGGATGTCCCCACAGTAACTCGTGAAAAGCGCCTGATGATTTCATTCAGTTTTATTTATACAACACCAAATCACAACAGTCGCCTCAGAGCGCTTTATACTGTAGAGCCTACAATAACACACACAGAGAAAAACCCAACAATCATATGACCCCCTGTGAGCAGCACTTTGGCGACAGTGGGAAGGAAAAACTCCCTTTTAACAGGAAGAAACCTCCAACAGAACCAGGCTCAGGGAGGGGCGGGGCCATCTGCTGTGATTGGTTAAGTCACTGGGACTCGAGCGGACCCTGACGGACTCGCAGACTTGGGAAGTGTTATTCCTGTTTCACACATACAAACACAGACTTTGGTCTTTGTGAGGATGTCGTAGAGAATAATATGAGAGCAGCCTGCAGCACACACAATGATCCAAATGATGGATATCCCATAAAAAACTATTGACTAGTTGGGTTTGTGCATCCCGAATTCCCACTTTCAGGTTCCCACCTGTCACTCGGAGGCTGCAGTCACTCCTGAATATGTTCGAACTGGACGTTTTCATTCTTACACACTGTAGGAATAATACTTGGAGCATCCTGGTGTGACAGGATTACATTTGTCTCTTTCCTTTTTGTGTATAAGGACAGCTTTAAAGTACCTGTGACCAGCACCACTAACAGTACCACTACTGGGACTCCTCCCCCGTGTGAATTTTCATGTGGCGCAACAAATGATTACTGCGTGTGAACATTTTCCCGCACGTTTGACAAGAATAAGGCCTCTCGTCTGTGTGAGTTCTCATGTGGCGCAGCAGATTGCTGCCTCGGTTAAAAGCCTTTCCACACGTTTCGCAGGAATACGGCGTCTCTCCCGTGTGGACGGTCGTGTGTCTTTTGTATGTCGACAAGTCTGAAAACCTGTCCCCGCAGGTATTACACAGGTAAGGCATCTCACCTGTGTGCGTTCTCATGTGGACCATCAGATTACTCCTCACCGTGCAACCTTTCCCACATATTTTGCAGGAATACGGCTTCTCGCCTGTGTGAGTCCTCATGTGGACGGTCAGCGTTCCCCTCTGAGTGAAACTCCTCCCACACGTTTCACAAGAATACGGCTTCTCACCCGTGTGGACTCTGTGGTGATCAATCATCTTGTACTTGTTCTTGAAGGCTTTCCCACAAAAGCCGCACGTTAAAGACTTTTCCCCTGCGGTGGCGTTACACGGACTCTCTGACACCGGAGAGTCTTCTGCGTTGCTGCTGTGACTTCTAGACGCTCCTGGATCTGCGCTGCGGACTCCTTCCTGGTCTCGGATCTCGGTTCTCTCGGCAGAGCTGTGAGAGAGGAGCTGATCGCTGTCCGGCTCTGAGTCGCTGTGCTCGCTTTCCTCATAAGTTTCAGTCACCATAAAAGTATCGATCTCCTCCTTCAGCACCAGCGGCTCTCCCTCCTGACTGCTGCACAGTTCCTCGGGTTCCTCTTTAATCTGCGGAGGTTCTGGTTCCTCCTGGTCCAGACTGGAGCTCCTCTCCTGCTGCTCAGGGAGAACCTCCTCCTCCTCCTTACAGACAGGCTGCTGTGGGACGTCTGGAGGGACAGAAAGAGACAAGAAATCTGAGAATTCCACAAAAACAGTTCAGAGCAAATATATTGTTTTTACCACTAATGAGGCTCCACAGAGTGAACATGTTGCCCTCCCACTCTGTGGAGTATTTTAGTGCATCTTCAGGATGAGTCTGAACATGCAAAGGGTCAAAGGTCACGCCTCACATCTGTGCTGAAAACACAGACAGCTGACGAGCTGCGTGAGAATCATGTTGAACTCTTGCAGTCCCTTCAGCACCACCGGGCTGGCTTTACTGGGTGGTGAGCTGACAGCGGTGCGGGTGGATGCCTCGCCGCTCACATGAACAGTTGGCCATCTGTGTGACAGCGTGTGGCCTGCAGTTCAGTGCTCAGGTGAGTGTGTGGTGGTCGGTGCAGCACACACTAACAGACTCAGCACACCGATCTGCGAGGCTGGTGTGGGTGTGGAGCCCGGCTGTCTGCACCTCCTCTCCACGACGTGCTGCACAGCAGGAGCCTCATTCCACAGGAAATACCTGAGTGGGCTTCACGCCTGCTCGCTGTGACACCTTTTCACTTCTAATATCTCGTTTTTATCGTAAACAGTGTTGTTTAACATTTCATATGCTGCACCTTGAACAGAGGACCTCATTTCAGTGTTTACATCATAGCTGAGCATCTATAAGAAATCAGGCTGGGTTAATAAAGTGTTCTGGCTCTGATTCATTGATTGGCTCAGGTGGGAACAAAAGCTCCTCCCCTGCGTCAGGCTGAGGCTCACCTGTCTTGTGCAGCTGTGTTTCGGGTTTCCAGGTGATGCTCAGCAGCCTCTGCTGCCGGTCGATCACTTCCTCGTACTGGACGATGGTTTTTTCAAACTCCAGGAAGATTTCCTCGGCGGCAGCAGTTAGTCGCTCGTTGATAAACTCTCTCAGGTACCGAACTGACGACATCGCGGCTCCGACAGCTCACAGATCCGGCGGAGAGACCACCACAGCTCCGACTTCCTGCTGAAGCTCCCGGAGGAAAGCGAACAATACTGGCAGCGTTTCCTCTTCACTTCCGCCTCGTGTCACAGGGAAGCTGTCCCGGTGGCTGGAAAACATGGAAATGGTGCATTAGCGCCATCTGCTGGCGTGGAGTGTGGACCAGCGTCACTGAGAAAAAGAAGCTGTTTCCTCACAGCTGTCACAGTTTCCTGCTGTTTAAACCAGAGCGTCCAAAGTGCTGATGACTCATCTCTCCTGCTTTCCTCTGTCCTGTAACACCGTCATCCTTCCTTTTCCTCCACCCACTGCTTTTGCATCGTTTCTGCTTCATCATCCTTTGTGTTTCTGTGTGTCTGAAGCTGATTAGAGGGGCAGCTTTGTGGAGCTTGCTTTGCAGGCTGATCTACTGCTTCATTCCTTATTTACAGAATGATTGTTGTGTTTGTTGGCTCTCTGTCAGGACGTCTGCTGACTTGTATCTGCAGTATATTGAACAGGTAACAGTCTTGTGAGTTTCTCTGGTGTATAATGATCATCCACCCTTGATCCTTCCCTGTATGTTAACATGAACCTCAGGAACAATGAACACAACCCCAGTTTGACTGATCTGCATGCCTTTATGTACAGTTTAAAGTAAAAGCTCTCCTTCTTTTCCAACACTGTGGCATCAGGACGTATTCCTGGTAAAGCTGCTGTTCACTGATGTTTAACCCTTGTGTGGTGTTCATATTTTTGTTACTCAGCCAGTGTTCATGGGTCTGGTGGACCCGCTAGAGTTTTGGCTTTCCAAATGAACACTATCAAACAATTTTATGTTAAATTACTCAACAGATGTTTACTTCATCCCAATTACAAACCATATGAACAGCAAACATGGTTAATTTTTTCCCTTTACCTTTGTTAGATCACATTTATGAATTAATGTGCTTCTCGGGTTTTTTTTTGTTTTGGTTTTTTTTAAAATAAAATGTTATAAAAAAATAAATCAGTTGTAATCAAGTGGAGTGAGCGGAAAGACACAACACATTTACACGTGAAGCAATATGTTTTACAACTAAATGGGATCAGCTGCTCATCAATGGTGACATTAGGCCCAGGTTTGTAAAACAGGGGGAGGTGGTGCACACACTTATCCCACACTGTCCTGATGGCAGCTAGCTTGTCTCTCTGCCGTCGAGCTGGTCTGTTGTCTCGGTTATCAAAACGAATAATCCTGGAAATTTTGTGGAAGTTTTCCAGAGACACTGATGCACGGAAAGGTTCTTGCCAGTTTCTGCATCCCACAGGATTCTGTCGATTCCCCTTTGGACCTGAAAACTCCTGCAAGGATAAGAACCCCAAAGTAGGCCTTTGGGGTTCTTAGATAAATTTGGTCCATCTCCTTCCACCTCTCTCCAAAAACACACCGTCCTTCTAGATTACTGCAATCCAGAATAATTTTCTGGATGGAATCTGGGATGAAAAGCTCAAATGAAAACTTGATGTCCTGCACATGAGTAACTTCAGCCGTGTTGGCCCTGGCTTATCACAGTAACAGCTCTGCAGGGTGGCTCATTTCTTGGCCAAGAAGACCATTCAATTTCACCAGTTATTGACATCCTTATTTCTTCACTTGCTGTCTGGTGGGCTTGTTCTGGTCCTGGAGCTGGCAGCAGATGGGGTACTCGTCTTCATTTTGTTACTAAATGATGCTCAACCTCATCCTCTTCTTCAAAGTCACGGTCAGACTCTGAATTTTCAGAAATGTGAAATATTCTGAAACCTCTTTGTCAACATCATCATCCGAAGCTCCTCTCTCTTCCAAAATCAATTGGATGGCCCTCGCAGCAGATAATCTTTTGCCATCTTGATCAGTTGTGATAAAGAACCACACTGGCAAAGTCTTATTTATAGTATTATGCCCCTAATTTGCAGGTGGGACAGGGTATGAGAAAATAAAATTTGGATCCCTCAAGAAAGAGGGTAAAATGTGCGGGAATGTCAGAGCAGACGGTGTTGATAGTTGAATTTTCAACAATGCTGCAACTTTGTGTGCGGAGCAGGAGGGGAAGAAAACACTATCAGCAGCACCAGAGAGGAGGAAGACAGAGTGTGGGAACACAGGACCTACACTTTCAACACTTTTATTAGACCTGGGTCCAGTGGACCCGAACACCTTGTATGTAATGTAAATGCGTGGGGGGAGGTACAGTATGAGGTCATTGAAAATTAGTTTGGATTTATGTTCTTCACAGAAAATAAGCCAAAGCCAATGAATTTCAGGTTGAAAAAACAATTAATTCTTTAATTTTTCTTTTGAAAAAAACTGAAAACGGGTCTCACAGACCCGAACACCATACAAGGGTTAAGCTGCTCTGACACCGTCTGAGTCACAGTCCACACAAAGCTTTATATCCATCCTGTTTCCCCAGAGTGGTTCAAAGTGTCCATGACCCTGGAGACCACCTGCTCTCCTCTGATCTGTGGAGGCATTCCTGCACGTTCGTTCAGTGACGTTTGCTTCCACATCTTTTAAATGTCTCCAGATATTACAAAACAATTTCCAGTAGGAAGGAATATTTATTCTACACATCAAACACTAACTTGACCATCATGAATTCATTTTCAACCTAAACTTCAGAATACTCTTTAAGTTTGAGCTCACATGAAAGATCAACTACTTTGAATCTGTTGTGATGTTTTTGGTGCTCCTGGTCTTAAAAATGATATTTCTCAATGTTTATGTTGCTTTGAATTCGTGCTGTAAAAACGTGCAAAACTACATTTTCTTTGCTTTGACAAAAACAACTGTAAAACATGACAAGTCACATGTTCTGGAGCCTTCTGAGGATGTCACGCTTAAACCTCAAATGATCTAAAAAAAATATCTGACCCTGAGTCTCACTTTAAGCATGAGAAGCATCAGTGATGGAGAACATTTGTGCTTTCACGTTGTGTTTGCACACAGTGCAAAGTGCTCCATCCTCCCTCCTCACAGTGATTCAAATGCTGCTAACAGTCTGTGAACCAGGAGGAAGAGGAAGTGAGAGAAGTGAGACTCAAAGAGGAGACAGAGGGCGACATCATCCAGTAGGCGGGGCTCTCCTTCTGCACTGTGTTCAACCATTGTGTCAATAATAAGTGCTGCTGTGAAGAGAACAATTCTCAGACTGAATGTTGAACATCAGCTAGTTTCTCCTGTTGATTTAAACCTTGTTGTACAGATGGAACATTGGCTGTGGATTATTCTTGCTGCTCTTTTCTTTGGTGAGATACAAACATCAACATGTTTCCTCTGCTTAAATAAATGTGTGAGTCTGATTAATGGTGAGTTTTTAATCATGTTTATTGATCCATCTCTTCCTCTGCATGTTCTGTTCTTCCTCAGAGTGTAAAGGAGAAGACAAAGTGATCCAGGAACAAGGAGATGTCATTGCTGCTGAAGGAGACACAGTTACACTTGGATGTAGATATGAAACATCTGATCCATATCCGTATTTGTTCTGGTACAAACAAGAAATAAACAACTTTCCAAAGTATGTTTTACTGCGTGGCACTTCAGGAACAGAAGATAATGATCAGGAGTTTCCAAAAGACAGATTTGATGCTGAGGCCAAGAAAACAGAAAAGTCAGTTCCTCTGAAGATCCAGAAGCTTCAGCTGTCTGACTCTGCTGTGTACTACTGTGCTGTGAGGCCCACAGTGACAGGAAACAGCAAAACTCTGTACAAAAACCTTTGGAGCAAAGACAACAGAATACTCCACAACATCCACTAGAGGGAGCCACACACTGTTAAACCTCTCTGGTCTGTCAGGTAGAGTCTAGTTTCTCTTCACTCGTCTGGCACAGCTGTGACGAGTCCACCTGAGACAGCAGCAGCCAGAAGAGCAGAGCTGCTTCAAATCATCGCACAAAAACATTTTTCATGCCTGTACTTTGAGTTTACCTCTGAGGATGCAGATCACAAGTCTACAAACATTTAATGCAGCAGGACAAAGCCTGCGAAGCCTGTAGGAGCCTTAACAGGCAGCACACAAACCTGCTGCACTGTGAGGTCTGTTGTGTCTTCAGCTCCACATCCTGATGGTTACTCGAGTTATCAACACTTTAGGCCAAAACAATGTTTATTTCTGAAGAGCTTTTTACAACAGCGTGTTGAACACGGTCTTCATCTCGTTAGTGTCACCTCTGAAGATGTAGTGTGAACACAAGACGTCCTTCAAACAGAAGCCAGGGAGCTCGAGAGGGCTCCTCAGCTTTGGCGCTCAATCCACAAATAACCGAGACAATAACACAGACTTCAGTCAAACATGAGAACGTGACACGGACTGATGGAAGACCTCACGTCTGTGTGCCTGCGGTCAGCAAGGAAACCAGCTGACGCGCTGCTTCTCCACCTGTCCGGTTTTTAGATTTGCACGATTAGACATTAATGTAGCAGTGAGGACACCACAGAAACACACAAGCAGGAAACACTTACAGCTTTATCGTACGGATATTATATAAATTACATCTGTGCAGAAAGCAGGCAGGGTCAGGGACAGCCTTTATAGCAAACTAATGAATAAATACAGTCGTGTCCACTGACGCACAGCGACTCACAACAAACGCAAACATGAAGAGTGTAGCACACGTGTGTGAGACACAGCTACTGCTGAGCAGACAAAACGAAACGTGGAGACTTCGTCTGTGGTTTGAAATATTTACAGTACGTAGTGTCTGTGCAGGCGCGCTGACAGCACCGCGGCTGTTTCTCTAATAAATACAATCTGAACTATCAGTATATGAAACAAGTGATGCTAACAGTCATGTTACATTTGGCTGGGGTCTGCTGTAATCTGTGATCTAACCCATGCAGCGTGCTTGTTTCAGAGAGAGCAGCTGGGCAATAACGAGCCCTTCGTGGCTGCGTAGGCAGCACGACTTGCCCCGAAATGTAAAGTATCAAAAACAGATCTTCAGCTGTGAGTCTGGGTTTTGTAGATTAAAGTGGGGAACACACGCCAACTTCAATCTTACGCTGTCCTGACATCATTCACCTGCTGTTACTCCATTTAACCATGTGCAAAAACAAGATGGCACAGCCTGCATCATAGTTAGGGCTGTGCAATATGACGAAATATATCGGACGTTGAAATGTTATTTTATACGCTATCGTTTGTTTGTATATTCATAATACTGCAGTAAAATCCACTGTTTATGGTGATACGTTTTCATGGTTTGGCCACCACGTGGATGCACAGGGAATCCCAGCATGACCAGAGAAGACGAGGCAGAACCAGGTAGCTCAAACTGACGGACCAGTCCAATCAAATCCAGGACCTTAGTCCTAAACCTTGGGCCGCCTCTGTAACACGGACATGGTTTGGTTATGAAACATCTGACTACGCAAATTATGGTGCAGAGCTCAGACTCAAACACAGCAAACCTCTTCAACCAGCCACACAAGAATCAGGTGACAGAGTGTGGACAGAGTTTACGGACGAGAAGCAAAAGCGAGCCGTCGGGTGTTCACAATGAACCTTAGGCTACGTCCACACGTACACGGGTATTTTTGAAAACGGAGAGTTTCCGTTTTCATCCATCCATTCGTTTCCGCTTATCCTTTTTCAGGGTCGCGGGGGGCGCTGGAGCCTATCTCAGCTGTCATAGGGCGAGAGGCGGGGTACACCCTGGACAGGTCGCCAGTCTGTCGCAGGGCCAACACACAGGGACAGACAACCATTCACACTCACATTCACTCGCACATTCACACCTAGTGACAATTTGGATTAATCAATTAACCTATCCCCACAAGCTGCATGTCTTTGGACGGTGGGAGGAAGCCGGAGTACCCGGAGAGAACCCACGCAAACACGGGGAGAACATGCAAACTCCACACAGAAAGACCCTGGCCTGATGGTGGAATTGAACTCAGGACCTTCTTGCTGTGCGGCAACAGTGCTAACCACCGTGCCACCGTGCTGCCTTAAAAAATAATCCCGTCCACACGTAAAGGCAGAAATGAAGGAAAACGCTGCTATGAACATGCCAAAGCAGCAGGTGGCGCTAGATTCCTAACCGTGTAGAAATGTTGGCCAATCAGAAGTCTAGAAGCCTCGGTGGGAAAAAGTAAACAAAGATGGGGCATAGAAGCAGAACCGAGTCGTATGTGTGGAGGGACAGTAACTGTGTATATGTAAGCATTTAAACACTGCAGAGAGTAGAATTAACAGTATTGTTGAAATTCATTCCACCGAAACAATAACGTGGCGCACAGTGTGACGTCAAAAAAGACGCACACCTTTGACGCTGCGTTTTCTCCGTTTTTCTCGTCCACACGTAAATGCAACAACTGAGTTTTCAAAAATATCCACCCTGGCCGGAGTTTTTAAAAATCTCCGTTTTCAGTGACCAAAAACGCCGTTTACGTGTGGACGAAAGGTGCAAACGCATAGAAAAATCTGCATTTTCAAAAATACCCGGGTACGTGTGGACGTAGCCTTAGACTCAGAGATCAGAACAGGCTCCTCCCCGCAGCACGCCGTCTAATAAATACGCAAAGAAACAACTTCTATCTAACACGGTTAAAACACTCGACGTCCAGCTGGAAACGCTTCCCACAGGTCGAGTTGCCCGAGATTCACAGAGTTTACAGAAAAAGCTCTATTTTGTGATATTTATGGTTATCAGGATGAGAAATGTCTTCTATCAGGAGATTCTGGTCATATCGCACAGCCCTCATCACAGCTACATCTGATTCAGTGCTGGTAACGAGTACACATCTTTCTCTTCATGCTGACAAAAAGAAACAAACTCCTGCTGCCTCTCTCGATTTCATATCTTCTCATTTCTGAAACAAACACAGGTCAGCGTCTAGAGTCTGTGTTAAAGCTGGAAAGTGCGCCTCCTAGCTGGTTGCCCACGTATCTTTAAATAGATACATTAGCGTGGTCACCGGTACGAACAGAGAAAACAACGGCGAGAAGGTGACAGGAAGCCGACCTCACAGAGAGTCTTTGCCCACAGAAATGTCCGACTTCAGCGTCTCAGCTGTGTGAGTTTTCATGTGCACCAACAAACCACCATTTTTACTGAAACTCATCCCGCAGATTTTACACGAGTACGGCTTCTCGCCGGTGTGAATTCTCATGTGCACCAACAGAGTACATTTTTTAGTGAAACTTTTCCCGCAGGTTTTACAAGTATACGGTCTCTCGCCCGAGTGGATTCTCATGTGAACCAACAAACTGCCGCGCTCCGTAAAACCTTTCCCACACGTTTCGCAGGAATACGGCTTCTCGCCCGTGTGCACCGCCTTGTGCTTTTTAAGCGCCGACAAGTAACAAAAGCGCTCGCCGCAGGCGTTACAAACGTACGGCTTCTCGCCCGAGTGGATTCTCATGTGCACCAGCAGACTACCTTTTCGAGTAAAACTGTTCCCACACGTTTCACAAGAATACAGCTTCTCCCCTGTGTGAACTCTCATGTGGCCCAGTAAAGTACTATTTTTAGTGAAACTTTTCCCACACGTTTTGCAGGAGTACGGCTTTTCGCCCGAGTGGACTGCCATGTGTCTCTTAAATGCTAACGGGTCACTAAAAGGCTTAAAGACCTTTCCACAAACATTGCATTTTAGAGATTTGGGGACTATGTCGGTGTTACACTGACTCTCTGATGTGGGAAAGATTTCTGCGTTGCTACTCTGACTTATGTTTCTAGTGGCAGTTGAAGTAGAATCGAAACTCTCGCTTCCTTCCTGATCTCGGCTTTCGTAGAGAAGAGAGCTGCGAGAGCCGAGCTGGTCGCTGTCCAGGTCAGGTTCACTGAGATCGCTGTCGTCATAGGTTACAGTCACCATAAAGGTATCAGTCTCCTCCTTCAGTGCACGCTGCTCCCCGTCCTGACTGATGCACAGCTCCTCCTGTTCCTCTTTAATCTGTAGAGACTGTGTTCGGCTCCTCTGCTGAACCTCCTCCTCCTCACAGACATGTTGCTGTTGGAGGTCTGAAGGCACAAATGGAGACACACAAACAAAAAGTTGTCAGAGAAATTCAGCTGAGCCAGCAGTGTGAACATGACAGACGCCTCAGGCGGCACCGATTACCACTGCAGAAGCACCGACTGCATTCTACTTTGATGAGTTCATATACAAACAAAACTTTTCAAGGCAAACAAATATTTATTCAACAATTTCCCCCAAACTGCACTAAGTTAGAGGATCTGACGGAGGCGCAAAAATCTAGCTGAAAATGAGCTGCTGACATATTTTCCTTCAACAAACAAAAGCATCTTGAACAACACAAATGTCGCGTGTTTCCATCATGTTGCTGCATGTTTGCAACACCAGACAACAGGAAATCGACTCTGAGCCACTTTGGCTTCCTTAGCGTCTGTAAAATGTTCAGCCGGGTCGGACGATTTGGTGTCCGATTACGTTTGTTGTTAAGAATGCTTTCTTGGTGCTCCCCGTCCCCCCGAGGTTCCCTTTAGAATGAGGTGCTTCCGTGCAAACAACGTGCTTGTGTGTGACTGTTTGACCTGCCACCGGGCGGACCAGCTCGTTATCAGACACAGGAGCGACTGACCGGCTGTTCTTTGCTGTTCTGCTTTCACACTCAGCACCACAGGCAGACAGTACAACATCTGCATCGCTGCAGATCTGTCACTCTCCTGCTCCGTTCCCTAACTCGTGCACAAGGCGTTAAGATAAACACTGACAGACCTCAGCTTGGCAGGAACTTGAACTCCCTGACCTGGAGGGGTCGCTCCTCCCCTTGTCGACTGAGCTCAGATCTTTTTCCTGCTGCTTCCCACTCAGCTGTGAACAACCCCACTGCAAGCTAAAAGTCACCGTCTAATGCAGCCTTCTGGCTGCAGCTGAAGTTGTGTCCATAAAAGTTCTGAGCAGAGTCAGCGGGTCTGCTTTCTGACTACAGTGTGAACCAAGCTCTACCTGCATTCACACAAGGACCAAACTGTCCATCCCAGACTCCCAAAACACTCCCCACAGGACACCCGAGGGCTTGCTGCCTTCTCCCAGTCCAAAACAAAGAACTGAGACGTGTAATCCCCCTGAGGGGCGACTCTCATCCATCCTACCCGGCCGTGTATTCAGGTTCGGGGATATGTGAAAATATTTCCAGGACAGTTGTCAGTCCAATGACCAATCATAGGTGATATACTCGCACAGGTGACTTTTTGATGGGCGGAGCGATCATGCACAGACTGATTCACCCATTTAGAATTTATACATTTTGTTTGGAGGTTATATTTGACCGTCTGTTGTTTCAGTTTTAATACAGATGCTCTTTCAATTATTCAATCATTTAGTTATTTATTTGAAATGCGCCAAATCACACAAAAGACTTTACATCAGAGATTTTTTAATGTTCGCTGGAAGAGACGTTTTAATTTTTAACTTACTTTTTTTTGATTTTGCACTTGTTGTTTGGTTGAGTGTGTGAGACAGATAAACACGGTTAGAGGCAGCTTCTTTCTGCTACCTGGGATCATCAGCTACGATCTTCTGTTTTTTCATACTTTTTCCATCTCTGTTTCAGCCAGCTTGTCAACCAATCAGGATTCAGCGTGACCACAGTCAGGCATTAACTGTTGGGTTTTAAAGGGTACAGTAAAGGACTGAAACATGCTGGGTGCTCTGTATGCAGTGCACAAATCCAAGCAACAGTCGGGACCTGTTTCCCGACCCAGAGGCACAGGAAAGTAGTCCTGTGTGGAAACACCCACAGAGGGGATACGAGTGCCACAGAAGGCAAATCCAGGCCAGAGTGCAGCCGTCTCCAGCAGCTTCGTTTTATAACACGAGCTGTGCGTTTTGGCAAGCCCGACTACATCCTGCTGGTATCGCTCGTCCACCAGAGAAGTGGCTTTCCTCACCTCTGTGGCCAGACTGGTCAGAGATGAAACTGCTCGAGGCACAAAGAACTGAACCCCTAAAGCCCCTCGCGCAGCTTTTTATGGGCTGTGGCCCCCAGACACTCACTCCAGGCCCGGCTCCAGGATAGGGCCTGGTACAGCTACACAAACCCCTCCAGCACCACAAACAGCTGCTGATTCACACACAGACAGAACAGGTGTGTTTAGATGAAGATAAAGTGGAACTGGTTTCAAACAGTCCTCAGCACAGCAGCAGATCACAGCGCTGAGGACGAGCAACAGCCTGCAGATCAGTCACATTAGATATTTTATTATTGCACAGCGACTTCATGTTTCCAACATTTGTTTGCAACTTTCACAAGTGCAACAGGAAACATACATTTATATAAACGTTATATTTATATGTATAAACTCCATCTGGAATAAATAATGTGCTCTGAAGCTCGATTTTTGATGTTTTCCAACTTTGACAGCAAACATAAAGGAACTGATTGAGTGATCCAGGTCAGAGAAAAGCTCAAATCCACCAGCTGCTGTTTGCATGGAGCGCAGCGCAGTCCTGTCCTCTGTTTGCTCTTTGTTAGCGCACATCTCCAAAAAGTCCTCACAATCAGAAACGTCCCGCAGAGCTGTGATCAGGATCCTCCCTCAGAGGGACACTCACCTGTCCTGTGCAGCTTGATTTGGGGTTTCCAGGTGATATCCAGCAGTCTGCGCTGACGGTCGATCTCTTCCTCGTACTGGACGATCGTTTTTTCAAACTCCAAGAATATTTGTTCAGCAGCAGCAGTTAGTCGCTCGTTGATGAACTCTCTCAGATACTGAACTGAAGGCATCGTTGCTGCCGCAGCTCACACACTCAGCTCACACAACAACAACACACTTCCTGCTCAGTCAATAAAGCTAACGGCACTTCCGCTTTTCCTGGTTTACTTCCGCCTGGTGCCGCACGGTGCCGCTCCGCCAGAGGAGCACAGTTACTTTTCTTTCCTCCTTCTACGTCTCCGTCTGAAAAACAAGTTATTTCGATCACGTCATGTTCTGAATATCACTCACATTAAAAACAAGAGTCCCACCAATTATACATTTTAAACGTTATTTCTCAGGTTCAAACCTTTAGCTCCCAATCACAATGTCACGAATGCGAAACGCTGTTTGTCATCAGCTCTTTTCATATTTACAACCTGAAGTCAGCCGGATAAACATCACGGCTCAGGCTCAGTCACTAAAGTGACACAGCAGATAAGATGAGAAGCATCATTCCACCAAATCACCAGGACTTAAAGTATGGACCCTGCAAAGTCCCGCTGCACTCCGTCCCCCGTCATTATGCAGATTCAGCGCAGAGCATGTGCACCCCAGAATGAGCGCTGTGGCCATGTTGACAGGAAATCCTGCAAAGTGATATCATTCATATCAATTTGCTCTGTTTATTATGTCCTCTGACATGTTTTAAGTGTGCTACTGGAAATACATGAAAAATCACTTTGTGAAAAATCACTGTTGACTTTCCTTTTTATTCAGAAAAATAAGTTTTTGCATTCAGTCTATTGTGTTTTTTTTTTTTACACCGTTTCCCCAGCTTTGGAAAACACGCTCACAGGCACAGATGAAGCTGCAGGTACACAAACTGTAAAGCCAGGTGGGAAAGCTTCTGATAAGATGTTCTTCTGTTCCCCAGTACGTTAAAGGATCCTCTGATCGTGGAGTGTTTCTCTCCTCCGAGTAGCGCTGGACCTCAGTGATGGAGTCCGCTGTTGTTTGTCTGCCAACTTCTTCATCGAGCCGCTGCCACAGGTTTTCTGAAATAATAAAAAAATGCATTATTAGTACACATTGGCATCAAAATAATACTGAACTTGCCTGGAACAGGTGACTGCTCTGATGATGGTCCAGGCTGTGGCTCAGATGTTGTGCAGGCAATTCCTGCAGCACACTCCACTTTCAGGCGATTGACTGTCTCACTACACTTGGAGGAACTACGAAATCCAAGTGTTATAAATCTGGGGTCTGAAAGGTCAACACACTGAAGGACTCCAGATTAGAAGCGGTGTCTGTGACACGACGCCTCAGTTGGTCATGGAGATGGGTGGCTGCTTGTGTGTAGATGTAAAGAGTTCAGCTCAAGTGCCAAATATAGCATTCTCATCATCATCACCTTTGATCCTGAACCTCTCCTCAGACAACTCCACTGTGGCCTGATGGAAAGGGACCAACACAAGAAGTGCTTCTGTTACGATGTCACACTCATCAGCCGTAAGTGGAGTTAAATCTGCTGGAAGAGAAGCAACAGATACCCAGCCTGCTTCTTTCTCATCATGTAGCCGTGACAGCATCTGATATGTGCTGTTCCAACGTGTTGGTACGTCGTTGATAAGTTTCAAGACGGGCTGTCCCACCTGCTGCTGCACTTGAGCAAGCTTTCCTTTGGCTGCAGTGCTGGATCTGAAGAATGATACGATTTGTCTAGATTAGTCTCTTATGGATGAAAGTTCAGGGATTTGATCACATGATTTCTTGACTAATACATTGAGTTTGTGTGCAAAGCAAACTGAATGTTGAATTTGGAGAGTTCTTGTTGTTGCATCGGTCACGAGACACCTTATTAATGATGGCCCAGTCATCCATCATGTCCTTTTTGAATTGGGCCAAACTGTCTGCAGTGTCATGGTCCTGGGCCATGTGGTCCCAGTATTCTTAGTTTCCTGTATTTTTGTATTTCGTTCCTTATTTAGGCCATGTTTCCTGAGTTGCCCTGTTGTGTTGTTCCCAAGTGTTTTCCCTTCGTGACTCTTACCCCCTGTGTGCCCCTCTGTGTATTCATGAGCCCTCGTCCCTCTTTGTGTTTATTCCCTGTTTCCCCTGCCCGTTATGTCTATGTTCTCCCTGTGCTCTCTCTCCTCCGGTCTGAACCCCCGTGCACTTCCTGTGTTACTTTGTGCCTCTCGCGCCTGTATACGCCATGTTCACCCCGCCCTGTCTCGTTATGATTATCAGTGTCACCTGTGTTCCCCGTGTGCTCCCACTTCCCTCGTTAACCCTCTGTGTATTTATGTCTGCGTCTCCCTCAGTTCTGTGTTGCGTTCTCCCTCATGCTGCGTGGATTTCCCTGTGTCTCTCTGCGAGTGTTAGTTTATGGTTCCCAGTTTAAGTTTTGTATTTCCTGTGATCTGCCTTCCAGCATTAAAGCTGTGATTTTGAGTTTATCCCCTGAGTCCGTGAGTTTGCATTTTGGGTCCTCATCCTGCCTGCCACACAGCGAGCCATGACATGCAGTGTGACTTTGTGGAAAGTGTTTCACACCCAACACAGATGTGCACAACTGCCACAATACTAGGGGTCGGCAGTCCTTGATAATAAAATTCAGGACTGCCGGGTCCAGAACAGTCTTCCTAGATGATTGATTTCAAAATAATAAAACACATATTAATTCAAAAAATGATAAAGCTGCTCAATGTAGGCCGACCTGTGTTCATTCTCGGTGTGTTTGTCTCATTTTCACGTTTGGCTCTGTAATGCCTAAACAGTGAGAGGTGCTTTTGTTTGTGAAAGAAAGCTGCGACATTTAGCCTGCATAAAATGAAATGAATAATTCCCACTGCAGGTCACATTGCTGTTTTTCCTGTCCTGATAGATTACACTGAAACAAAGACACACAGTTACCATATTTGCAGTTAAAAGATCAAAATGATCCCACACTGCAGAAACAGAAATTTCGTGCTCCATTTCGTTATGGAGAGATGTGCATTTTTATTTTTTGTAGAGAGATGTTTTTTTTCTTTGCGAGAGTAATTTTGTTTTTTTGGGATGCGGTACCTCTTAAACACCGTTTGGCGCGTTGGCAGTGCGCTGTATTGATCACGTGACTTTTTATTAAAGCGACGCACGCACCGATACAGGCTTCGCTCTGTGAGCTGGATACTAGTGATGTGCGATACCAATGATTTCCTTTACGATCCGATACCAAGTAAAATTCAGGATGGTATCAACGATACTGATCCGATACCGATACTTTGTACAACAACTTATTTTATTTATTGTATCTCAAATTACAGCTTCATAATGATTAAAAGGCATCAGATTACTTGTTCTTATTGCTTAATAATGCACAATTATCACACAGAAATAAAAAACTGAAGTTGTGCTATTTGAACACGTTGCCTGCCTGCAGCACTAAAGGACTCCCTGTGAGACGTCTGTCTCGCCCCAGCAGCACCTGTCCCTCTCCTCCTCTTCAGTTCGCCTCAACATACGCGTCTCATATTCTGTGATATGATTTACTCTGAGGTGTTTGATGATGTTAGTGGTGTTGCCGCAACACCTCACTGTCTTGCCACATGTATTGCAAACCATGTCTCAGCCGTTTGTGGAAGTAAAATACGTCCACACATGACTCCAACTACGCTCAGCCATTGTTGTGAGCGCGCACGCCACAGGCTGCCACACATTTATTCAGCCATATTTCGCACATGACTATGACAGGCAGAAGAGGAAGTAGTTCCTTCCAATGCAGACAATCCGAATGTTATAGTTTCGTTCCACTGTGTTCCTGTTAATGATAAACTACAAATATACCATAAATTACTAAAATATCGATATTTTAATGTGAGAATCTAGAACATGAATGGCTGGTATCGGAGGAATCGATATTTCAGGATCGATCCGCACATCACTACTGATACATGCGCCGGTGCGTCAGTGTTGCTGGACCCGTCGCTGCCTTTCAGAGACAGCAGTCCATGTGTGTCTTTCCTTTGTTTATTATTCAATGATTGCTGACTGTTCATTCTCATCCTGACCGCAATGAGCCATGATAGTAATAATCCCCAACCTCCTCTGAACCTTCCTCCAAACCCCGTGGACATCATGTTTCCTCCTTAACATCATCTGCAGCCCTTTGTTGCAGCTGCTGCGGGTCTCTTTCTCAGTTTTCTATTAATGAGTGAAAAGCAGTTCTGCTGGTTTGAGATCAGCTGACTGACTTTGGTCACTGAAGAATTTTTCTTACCAAAACCACTTTATGCACTTTACTTGTCTTTTTAGTCTTACGGGCCTTTTTATTGTTGCTGAGCTGATCAGTGCATTCCTTCTTTTTAAGGACGGACAGATTGTTGATCTTCTAAAGTTAGTGCTCCGTCCCTGATAAGCTTATTTGGCTGCAACTCATCAGCACAACAATGGAAAACTGAGTCTTAGATTTATGATCCAACATGGCACAAATGAGCAGAGAAAATGTCAAAAATATCAAAACAAATTAAAAGTCCACCGTTGAGCAGTGGCTGAGTTCTCTGGTCTCTCTGAAATTTGAACTTCTTACAGCCAATCGTCTGACTTCAGCCCCACCTTTAAAAGTCCAAAAGTGCACTGAGAGCAAAACAAAGGTTAAAACCACTGGAGGTTTCTGAGTTTGTGCTGAAAGCTGTAACATGTGTTGAGGTTTGGTTTTGGTGTTTGTAACATGCAGAGATATGAGAGGAGGAAGAGGCTGAAGGAGGAGCAACACTGTCACAGAGCAGAAAAGGACTCCCACTGTCAGATACATTCAATATGTGAAGCATACAGAACAGATAGTGTGTGGAAGATGCTGTCACTGCATTACTGGCTCATGTTTCCTTTGTTTGTGATCACACTAACAGGTCGGTTAAAGCAGGAAGAAGAAATGTCTTTAAAGGATCTGTTTGCTAGAAATCACTGGAACAGGCGCTCACAGTTTAACATCGTCTTTAACAACATTTATCTCTTCCTTTAGGTGTCAGCTGTGATCAACTCACTGCAGTCAAGGATGAAGAGTCCACTGTAGAAGGAAACACTCTCACTCTGTCCTGCACCTATCCCCAAATTTCTCCTGGTAATGACTTTTTTTGGTTTCAG